TGCCGATCCTGACTCGCCATCTCCTCAGACGCGCCTTTAGAGAGAAGTGCATCTTTATGGATTATGATTATAATGAAAGAGTTTTTGTTTTTGATTTGTTTTATTTCATTAAGTAGTAATTTAAAGCTTTCTATAGATATATTTATCATGTCTGTGAGGCATGTTTTCGCTGAGTTCGGTTCATTTTTGTGAAGCGCTCCTGTTCAAGACGAGACGGCAGAAAAGCGTATCATGTTTTTGTTGATATTGTGAGTGCACACAAATAAAAGTAGACCCTTTACAGCTACGAATGATGTATTACTCTTACCTTTATGGGCAAAAATGACGGCGTATCCACTGAAAAAAATTCAAGTGATCGCGCTGGCGCCTCCATGTCCTGCAAAGCTTGAACTGTTTTATATCTATAGATTTTATTTTAGGCAAGTCGTGATGATTTGAGAAGGCTAAATTGATCAAACATACAGTAGGCTCACTGTCTGCCGCTGGCCGCTTGGTCGTTACTTTAAAAAACAAAAATGTATATTTAACGAGCAAAAAATGCTCCAAACATTTTTTTTAAATTAACTTCATAAAAAAACGAAACGAAATATAATCACTTTGCTATTACATACAAAACTTAACTATTTTAATAGCTGAAACAGTAGTATAAGCTGTTTTGGGAGAAGAGGAAAAAAAGACGGGCTCGGGCCGGTAATTCTGATAAGCTGTCGGACACGGGCCGGGCTAGGGCCTAAATTTGAGGCCCGTGCAGGGCTCTAATCATCTCTTTCCTACTACCATGTGTTTAGCTGCAATTGTGCCATTCACCAGCAGGGGTCACACTGCTGTATCCCCCCCCTGCACTGCTGCATTTCCTGCCAATGGTGTGCTGTTAAAAGGCTCACTGTGTTCATATATATGTGCTCTGTCTATTATAGATGAAAACCATGTCTGTATGCATATCAGACCTCCAGAAGGCTGTCGGCTCTTGCGGGGAGATCGCAGTTGTCTCTGATATGGGTCATTAGAGCTGTACAATTCCACAGTTCCCAGATTCAACAGAACAGTCTTCTGTAAGTAATCCACTACTGCCAGACCATTGCTATTGCCAAACACCACCCTATGACACACATAAAACATAAAAGACAGCAAGTGCTTTTGTCATCAAATTAGAAGGATATTCTTTGGTTTATGCTGGTTTAGTGATTATTTAATAAAATTAATATAATTTATACACACTAACGTTCAAAAGTTTGGTGTCAGTAAGATTTTATTTTAAAATACTTTTATTCAGTAAGGATACATTAAAATGATCAAAAGTGGCAGTAAAGATATTTTATTCTATCCACTTTCTATTTTTTCTACACTTTTCTATATACTTTTTATTCTATTTTACTTTTTATTTTGAATTATATTCATCAAAGTGAATCCTGAAAAAAATGGTTTCCACAAAAACACAATTAAGCAATGTAACTTTAATAATACAATTTTTTTTTTTACTTGAGTGCCAAATCAGCATATTAGAATGATTTCTAAAGAATCATGTGACACTGAAGACTGGAGTAACAACATCACAGAAATGAATTTTATTTGAAAAAAAGGTATTTTTAATTGTAACAGTATTTCACAGTATTATTGTTTAACTGTATTTTTGATCAAATAAATGCACCCTTGGTGAGCATAAGAGATTTCTTTCAAAAATATTACAAAATCTTACAGACCCCAAACTTTGAAGGATTGTGTATAAGTTTTATGAAGGCTTATGGTAATTTTGTGAGGAACAAACCAACATTGATGTTGTTATTCACTGAAAATCCTGTGAATATTTGAATATATGTAAATATTTTAAAAATATTTTAATACAATATAAGAACGAAGCAAATATTGTCCTTTCATAAACATTTCTGACACAGTCTGCAGCATTTGATTTATTTGCTGAACCACCTGACAAAACAATGCAAAACTTCAGGTAACTCACAAGCCATAGCAGGAGTTGATGGCCAAGCTGCTGATCTGCTGGGGCGGCTCTCCACTGACCCACACCAGCTGTACCACCAGCTCCACCTGATACCCTGGAGACTGCTTCAGAGGACTGCTGCGCACCCTGAGGGAATGACAGAGAGAGGAGACATGGGTTATACACAGTCCCTGCCAAAAACTGTATAACATTTACTGTATAGTGTGATATATTACATACTGGGGATGGGCATGGGTACCCAAGCACTTGAAAGTGACATTCATGATTAATCATAAAAACGGTTTTATTTTTTATACTTCAAACAAGCAAAATCCAGTAATGTGCCAAAAAGGGGCCTCATGGTGCAACTTTGCTGTCTGATTTGTCAGACAACAATTTGCATCAATACCGCGCAAACTAACTTTCAGTCTGTGGCAACTACATTCCTCAATGCTTTCTTTGGAAACAGCCAGACAGAGCGCAGCTGAATGGAACAGAACACACAAGTCCTGAAATGTGTTTGTAAAAGCTGAACTATTTTTAACTTGACACGTATATTTGGTGCATTCTGTCTGTTGGGTTCTCACAAATCAAATAAGCTGATCATGTGAACTCCTTTGTACAGACAGTCAGATGTTTCCAATACAGTGAAACACAAGATGCTCTTTGGCTCATTTTCAAATCATGCTGGATCATCTGGTCATCACAAATTTGTGGAGTTCATACAAATTGAGCGCTGATGTCATTAAAGCAAATGCAACATACCAAATGCAAAAAATACTAAAAAATAAGACTTTTTTTTTATTTATTTAGTAATCAAAATGTTCCATTAATAATATCATTTGCATTAAAAAATAAAGGCATTTACTGTACACAAATAGTCTCAGACTTTTGGATCCCCCGTTATGTGTATTACAATATAACTTGCAAAGCAGAATTACTTGAGGCAGGGTATGTTGTCTCGGATCCCATCTGATGAGTTGCTGCTAGTGGAGGTGTATGTCTGAGGAGCGGCGGTTTGTGGACTAGGGGAGGTGCTTGGCGTGGGAGGAGCTGGTGTCTGATCTCCTCCCCCTTCTGGAGACTCCAGATCATTCAGCTCATACTGTAACCTGACCTCCAGTAACTGTAAAACACACACATATGTACACATGTAATTGAAACAATTGTGCTTGAGAACAGATGTGTATGAATCAGCTAAACGCACTTAGTTAATTGATCCCCATCGGTGTCGCTATTCTGAATGTGAGACACGCTAATTGGTGTGCGTGTCATTTCCAAGTGAGTGTTTCTATGTGTGTGAGAGTCACTGGACTAAAGGTGTTAAAAGGTTTAATTTGCCCTCATTATACAGAAGTGTGAACGTTCTGTCAGCAGACGATGGTAACACTAATGGTTTATCCCACATTTGCACTGAGCATGTGCCTCTGTTAAGCAATCAGATTCGTTCTGTCCCCAATTGGACTGTATTCAAACATTTGATTCATTATTATCCTGGTTATATGAGTCATGTATTAATATGTAAATAAGTTGATTAAGCATTAATAAAGCACTATTGCTTAATTGCTTCAGTCTACCACATCATATATTTTCAAACAAAAAATCATATGTAAATTCAAATTATTCACAGATATATTTTCTAATAGCATTACCATAAGCACTCATTTATTTATGGGTCACGGAAGCATCAATATGCAAATGTACAGCTTGCAAAAAAAAAAAACACAGTGAGAGGGCAAAATGAATGCAGTATTAATTATTCAAGCTCAATATACAGCTAGATGTGGTGAACATTAATTAAAACGGCTTTGAAAGGCTTAGGGATTTAGTTAAGCATCTGAGTAACAACTGTTCCTCGGATATCCTTAGTTGGCTCTGTAGACAGCCCATACACGTACAAATGCACAAACACGTTCAAGTTGCTGAACAACATCCATTTAATGAACAGATTTTATAATATTATTAACGTTATGAGTCATGGCAGTTGTCAGGAAACTAAAATAACTTGAGACGGGGAATAAGAGAGAGACAGAGTGTCTGTGAGGGCAGCATTACTCATTCCACTTCAGAAAACAAAGTTTTTAAGTCAATTAAAAAAAAATAATTCTTACATATTTCTTGCAAAATAATTCTTACATTAAAAGATAAATAAATTTAAAAAAAATTGTATAAACAACATATTTTTTACCTGCACAACTTCTGTGGTGATTTCCTGTTTGCTGAACCTGTATATGATGACATGGGCAGAGACACCAGCCACACAAAGCATGCGGCTCTCGGGACACCAAGACATCAACTGAATGGCAAACGGGTCCTCATCCACAATCTCTGTGCTGGGTTTCTCCTCCTTACAGCGCGCCTTCTCAAACACCTTAGCTGTCTTCAGCTTGTACAGCACCTGGAGCATTACTGAACACATGGCAAATGGGATTCAAAGGAAAAAGGAAGAGATAATTGCATTCAACCAGTCATTAACACAAAATTAGAGATTTTTATCATATTGTCATCTAACATCACTTTAATGTTCAAGTTAATCTTTAAAAACATTAAGAACGGTTAAATTGAAAAAAAAAAACATTGTTAAAATCATGTAATCTTATACAAATCTCAAAATAAATATCCATTTTTCATACTGTACGTTATAATGTTGTGATGTTTAAATTCACATTTAAAATGGATTTGTTTTATTTTTTTATTTATTTAATCAAAATAGCACTACATTTAATATTGGCAATTTATTGTTGATCAGCCATAACAAGAAAATAATTAATGGCTTATTGGTATCGGACAGATTTTTAATATTGATGCATCCATATGTTGTATTAATTTGAAGAGGTTTATTTTGCATATACATTTTGCATTTTACCAGCTGACTGTACATTATCTGTTTTATTACACAGCTACTTCTCAAATGAATGAATGAATGGACACAAACTAATTTTAACTGAAATTATTTTAGACATTAAAGGGTTAGTTCACCCAAAAATGAAAATTCCAAGCTCTATCATTGCAGTCAGCGGGTGTTGCAGTTGAACAGTCCACAAGTCATCAAATAAAGCTCACGCATTCATAATAAAATGTGCCGCAGGCGGATCCGGGGGATGCATAAAGGCCTCCTGTAGTGAATCCATGAGTTTTTGTAAGAAAAATATCCATATTTCAAACATAATAAACACTTTTCTCTCACTTCCGCTGACTGTCATACACTGAAGCAGTTCCGGCGGATGACGTAAGACGCGCGGCATTGCGTGATTAGTGAAGAATGCGGAGAGAGAACAAAACAAAACGCCGGTCACGAATTAGAAGTACAAACCGAAGATGTGCAAAGAAAAATGTCGGAGGATTTCGATATAAACCCAGAGGAGACTGGTTTTCCTTTGCTAAAGTAAGGAAACTTTGCTTCCTTTGCTCCTATTAAACAAACTCGCGAGACTAGCATATCTCAGAGGTCATATGCTAGTCATATGCCTTCCGCCGGAACGGATCCGCATATGATAGATAACGGAAGTGAGAGAAATGTGTTTATTACGTTTGAAATATGGATATTTTTCTTGCAAAAACTCGTGGATTCGCTACAGGGGGCCTTTATTCATCCCTCGGAGTCATCTGCGGCACGTTTTATTATGAATGCAACCACAATTTTATAGGAAATAGGTTGCTTTGGACAATGACCAGTTTAGCAGTTATTAGACCAAAAAATGCTGTGAATAAACAATTCATAATCTATAGTATTCCAAAGAACTAAGTCATATAACTTCTAGATTTGTACAGTTAATGCTTTAGAGGATTAAAAGAATGATGGGAAATGTTTTAATGCTGTCATATGCATAAATGTGTTTTGTCCAATTTTTGAGGGCCTATAATCCACTGACTCCAATTGTTCAGTTCAGCCAAAGCAAAAAAATATTAAATGGCATAAGATTAGCCACTCTGTCTTAGCAGGATTAAAAAGTCCAGTCTAATTAGCTTTATATTTCATTGGTGGACAAAATGAGGGCCACTTTGGTTTTAAATTATTTCCTACCATTAGGAAAAGCCATTTGAATGTTAAACAAGTGCTTGTGTGAGGGGTTTGCAACCTTTGTGGTATTTTTAATATTACGATATGTCCTTTAGCACCTACGGGAGGTACAGGAACAGTGGAAACTGTAGTCTGTCAAGCTCACAGTTTAAACAAGGTGAAATGACATGTACAGGTAACACTCTCACCACACTGGTCTCTCTCAGCGGTGCACAAGGTTAGACAAAGCCTGTGGGATCTCTGGAGTTTTTTGTGTGTGACATTATACGGTCAGTCTCCAGTTGGGTCATAAATCATGGAAAATTACCTTATTGTTATGGTAAATGATGTCAAGTTATACTCCAACAGTGATCAGCAGAATCCAGTTTTTAATTAGATATTTAACTGTTAGTCGAATGTGATCGTAACTGTAGCCAAAGTCCCTTTCAAAGAAAATCAGTTCACTTGGCGGCCACATTTGCAACGCCTCTGGGCATCTATTTCGGGCATGCAAGACCAACTCCTATCTGCTCCATGTGCAGTCTTAACACATCTCAGGAAACGGATTCTTTCTATAGGAACCAGAGATTCAGTTTTGCCAATTGGTGATGTGATGACTTTACCAATTGGCAATTGGCTCCTCCTGACTAATTCCACTATATTCACAGTAATATATGCACAGTAACATGATTGAACCATCTTGGTCTACAGTCTTTGCTGTAGCCAAAATAGCAGCGCATGTCGCTAGCAACACCAAGGTCATGGGTTTATGTCATAGGATAGCACAAATCTGATATAAAACTTTTGTTTTTAGACAAATGTGTCAATTCAATATGAAATGCAAATGTGTTTGAAGTTTATGAGCTTTGAAAAATTATTATACCGCACACATTGTGGTACATGGAGCTATAATGCTGCACACAAGTGGTAAATGGGGTGAATATGAAGTCAGAAAGGCTCGGTACTCACTTGCTGATGCATCCCAGAACTTCACTGAACCATCTGCATGCCTGCAAGAAGAGCAGAGAATCTTTTATTTCAACTGTCTCACACATTTTCGTACACAAACCCACATAAACTCACTAGCACTTTCCCATTACCACATGTATTCAAACAAACCACTGAGGTAAGCTAAGGTGCAATGTCAGATAAAAGCTAGTCAAGAGATGAGAGGAAGTGCTCTTCCCACTGCTGTCAAACCCACTAAAAAAGCAAAAAAAGGTTCTGTCATCCCATGGGCTGTACATCAGAAAATGCTTACTTTTTTGTCATACTTCCCTTTCGCTACCATCTTGTCCTGCGCATTTCCCTCTCTTCTGCACTCCTCCTCCCTCTTCTTATACCCTGCCTTCTTATTTTACTCCATTTAAGTCTTTTTCCCCATTTTTGCCATTTCAGCAGAACTACAAATGGCGAAAGAGAGAGAACAGAGTATACACACACACATTCTTACCCAGTTATTATTATTTCAGGGTAGCTTTGTGTGCCCAGGCCCCAGTTTCCGCCACTGATAGGCCATTCCTGTGATGAACAACAGAACCACAGAAAAGCACTTAAATCCACGAAAGCTTACCGCATAAATCCGACATTTCTTGACATATGAGAATAGAGGAAATTTAGTAGATATTGCCCTAAAGCGTGTGAGCATTCCTCGGAAACTTAATAAAACGAAATCGGCCAATTTGTACGTTTTAGTAAGCATACTCTTAAAAAAACGTGACGTGACATGTGGCCAAGTATGGTGACCCATACTAGGAATTAGTGCTCTGCATTTAACCCATCCTTAGTGCACACACACAGCAGTGAACACACACACACACCGTGAACACACACCCGGAGCAGTGGGCAGCCATTTATGCTGCGGCGCCCGGGGAGCAGTTGGGGGTTCGGTGCCTTGCTCAAGGGCACCTCAGTCGTGGTATTGAAGGTGGGAGAGAGCGCTGTACATTCACTCCCCCCACCTACAATTCCTGCCGGTACGAGACTCGAACCCACAACCTTTGGGTTACGAGTCCGACTCTCTAACCATTAGGCCACGACTTCCCCACGACTTCCCTTAATATAATCACTGTGGCTGGCACTGGCAGCCACAAAACATTTCTGCAATGTGGGTGGAACCTTTATTAAATGGCTGGCGAGGCTCTACAGGAAAGCATTTCCTCACGAGGCATGGAAGCTGAAGCAGTTTATTCAAAGGTATTCAGAAGTGCTGTGATTCAAAGTGGGCCGTCTGAGTTAACCTGCTCCCTGTGGGAGACAGACCCACAACTAACACACCGCACTCCAGTCTTGGCTGAGAGGTCATGCTTTCTTTCATACCCATAAAAACCCCTGTCTGTGACTCTGACCCACACAGTCTGAGGACACAATGTGCTGCACAATGGGAGCCTGATGTCATGCAGGCATAGGGCAACGGGGTGATTCACCAGGGACTGCAATCTACTCACTCAAAAGCCAAGGGGTGTGTGTGTGTAGGCAGGACGTTTTAGCTTAAAAGACATCATTAACCGATTAGCACCTTTAAATGAGTGTGTGCATGCTGTTGTACCTTTTTGCTGTAGCCCTGTCGTTTCTGGCGAGACCCGACAGAGTAAAGTGCAGGTATGAGGTCCACAGGACAATCGGCTAAGTACTCACAACACGTCACAGGAGACTCATGAATCATCATGGGATAAGGATTTTCAAAGATAGGGTAACTGAAAAACACCACAGGTCAAAAAAATCTGATTGACACTGTTGTGGAAAAGTGTGATAGTGTCAAACATGTTAATCACAAATATGACGCAAATGCTGTGGGTGATACATACCCGTTTTGTGCAAGGTCAATAACAACTAAATCCTTTTCGAGGAGGACCACTACAGCATACGGTTCCTGAAAATCTGCAGAGAAATGAAAACAGGATGGGTAAAATCATGAATAAATTGCTACATATTTGTACATATACACATATTTTTACAAATACTGTTTACCACTAGTTATTTAGATGTTGTTTTTAAAGAAATTAATACTTTTATTTAGCAAAGGGACATTAAATTGATCAAAAGTGACAGATAAGACATTTATGTTACAAAAGATTTCTATTTCAAATAAATGCTGTTCTTCTGAATTTTCTATTTATCAAAGAATCCTAAAAAAAAGTTCCTCAGTTTCCTCAGAAATATTAAGCAGCAAAAGTTGCATGCAACAGTTTTCAACATTGATAATAATAAGAAATGTTTCTTTAGCACCAAATCAGCATACTAGACTGATTTCTGAAGGATCATGTGACACTGAAGCCTGGAGTAAATTTAACCTGTTCACCTGTTTTGACACCCACACTTATAATAAAGTGTGGATCATATTTATTCCATTGAAGTTATGACTGGAGACGTCAATGCATAAGTTTGAACCTCACAAATGTCTCAATAATGAGTCAGAACCAAAGACGTCTCATTTCAAATATAGCTTAATCAACGGTAAGAGCCAGGCACTGTTATGCAAGCAGCAGTGCAAACACTGTTCCCATTCCTCCCGCATTCTTCACTGCTTCTCAGTTTGGACTTATACAAATTCTAAACAAAATGTTTAAGCCTTTAACACAGATATATGAACACAGACACTGTGTTTAGGCAAGAACAACTGCATGATTATCTTTATTTCTGTAAAAGCAAGGTGAATCACAAGAAAAATTACTGTTTTTTAAACAAGCACCATGCATAAACTACAGAAGTGATGTTATGTAAGGGATAAAGTACAGTCAGCTGTCTTTACGTCATAATAAACCCTAATCCAAATCATGGCGACTAACAAAATAAGTACATGGACATGAAATATTGATTTGAATTTAAATGTTATCTTACTTAGCTTTTCATTAAGAAAAAAAGTCCGTAACAGAAAACAAGTTTAAAAGAACAGCATTTATTTGAATTATAACATTATCAGTGTGCTTACTGTCACTTTTTTTATTTTAAATGTTATGCATACTTGTTAAATAAATTTATTCATTTCTTTCAAAAAAGAAAAAAAAAATGATGCAAAAAATTCTTGAACAATAGTGCATTTAGCTCAAAAGTATCATGTTTTCCTCTCTTTCATCTTTATATAAGTAATGCTCAAGAGCGATACTGAAATTTAGTTCAACAGAAAATTTAGGGTATCAGAGACTGGCCAATTGGAATCAAGTATTTCAAAGAGCCATGTAATAAGTACATTTAATGTTTTATTTTTCACACCAGCAAACTATTGACAGACTATTAACAAACTAAAGTCCTATCAGCCTTTGCTACAGCTGCCTGCGGAGAGAAAAGAAAACACTTACTATTCATAAATAGCCACCCAAGTGATAAATTATTCAAATGGGTACGGCAATAATAAACGAATGCAGTCACAGAACTGGAAGTTAGGAATAGAGGGAGCTTTAAAAAAGAGATGTAAAATGTAATTACTAGGCAGCAGTTCCACTGGGAGAGCTCAAACTCATCTACAAAGAACATGAAAGAATAGAACAACCCAACAATACAAAGGTTCAAATGTCAGCAAAAAAAGAAAAGAGTGGAAGTGGCATGAGATAAAAAGACTGAGTACTTATTGCAACAATACTGGACAGAGCAGGTGCTGTTAATGAGTAAATCGACCCACGTACCATTAGGATATGGCGTTTCACACAGGGTGAGGAAATCTACAATGGAATAATCCATCTCCAATACTGCCGTGCTCTTTCCATGCATTACTGTCAAGCATGGCCGTCGACCAACAGTGTCATACGACAAACCACCAGAGAAGATCATAAATGGATCCCTGTTCAGAACACAAACATATACAGTACAATGAGCTTCAAAAGTCGGAAAGTTTGTGCTGGTATTTTTCTCAAATGATTTTATCCGCATAACAATCTGAGTAAGAAGAAGCTGAACTGAATGTCTTTTAGAATGCCTTTTCCTTTAACGAAAGAAGCACTTGAGCTGCATGAACTCCACAAGTTTGTTTATTTGGTTGTGACCTAGAAATCATGCAGAATCTTAAGTACTTGTTATTTATTTTACATTGTAACTTTTTGAGCTTGAAATAAATTTTTAATCCCATATTTCAATGTGGTCTCAGACTATTGGACTCCATTTTTGGACCCCACATTTATTTAAAAACATCTAAAAGATAGTTCGCTAGAAAGGTTTAACTTATGAACACTATTGGCTATGCTGGTTTACCAGCTTGACCAGCACAAAACAGCAAAAACCAGCCTGGACCACCATTCATGATGGTTTAAGATTGTTTTTGCTGTAGGAAAAGTAAAGATGTATTGCTGCAGGTGTGTACTTACCCTGCTCTCGTGGTCTTGTACTCTACTTTAAGAATGGGTTTGCAAGGCTCTGGCTTTTTTCCATCTTTAGGCTGCTTTCCTGAAACAGAATCGGACTCATTCAGAGAGTTTCCTAACCTCCTCTTCTTCATGTATTTCTGACTGAAACAGGAAGTTATTGAAGGACTGGTCTGTTTTTTGTTTTTTTTTAGTATTGCCAAAAGACTTTTGTTTTCTTAGATGTGAAACACTGTTCATTTTAGGGGTGTATTACCGAACAGGGGACTTCATATTCAATAAAGTGAAGCCACAAAACTTCCAGTAAATTTTCAAAATTTAAAAAAATGAAATTGTCATTTAGCATTTTAGGAGGAGACTTTACAGCCAACTGTCTATCAAGCATTATGTCACAAAAGAGTAGACATGAAGGAAGGACACACAGGCTGAGGGTGGAATTTGGAAAAGAGCCTCCCTCTCCCACAGACAGGAAGCGTGTCACAGAAGAACTACGCAAGTACTTTCATAACAAAAAGAAATGTTCACTATGAAACAAATTGATTTATGTAATTTTCTTCTGCTCCTAAGCAGTTTGTTGAACGACAATCCTAAAAATGTAAACATCCCAAAAAATCTTGATTCTAGAATTTGGGTCTTTAGTTGGGCTCAGAAGAATATTTCTTGCCTTATGTAGAAATAGTTCAAATAATGCATTTAAAATAATTTATAAATTAACTTAAAGAATTGTGCTGTTATTCATATATTTAAATATACAATTAAATTAAAATAAGAAAATCTGCATCTGCTTGAGAGAAAAATGGAGCAGATTAGTCTCAGATTTTTAGTGTGGCTAAGATAAAAGACAGCAGGGCTAAATCCTCCCTAACTAGGGCCTACTAATGTCTATGAATTGAAAATACCAAATATTATTTTTTCAGCAGGGTTCTGACAACATTTTATCGCTTTTCCTAATTAGTTTTGTTTCTTTCTAAATCTGACTGTTTGATGTTCTCCTCTCATGGAGGCATGGTGAGGCTGAAAGGGGTTCTTGTATGTAGTGGAGTATCTTCAATAGAGCAGGCAAGGACTGCACCAAAAGGAAGAGCATGACCTCACTTCACTCATCACTAAAGACCACAACACAAGCGTTTCCATGGAGGAACAAAATGAAAATGAAAATTAAAGCTTCGCTTGAAATGGAAATCAGGGAAGGGGAGGTGATTGTTTTAAGCTTCTTTGTGAAGGAGGGGGATAAAAAAAAAATTACAATCCTGAATTAACAAGTCTTTGAGAGAGGTGTGATACAACATTGTGAAATAGACATAAGAGCGATTAATTTTGCAATATTAATCCCTGACGAAAAAAACATTTGAAGAAAATGAGTTTGTGTGTTTGAGCCAGAAAGAGAGAAAGATCACTAACCATGTGGCGTGATTGTCTGTACGGGCTTGGCTGGGGACTTTATATTCCATATGGTCAGTGTGCCGTCTGAGTGACTACAGATAAACTGCTTCCCCTCGTGGTGCCAGGCCACAGAATGGATCGCCTGTGAGTGAGAATGACAGAAAAAGAGCAGGACATAAAAGTTAATAATGCTTGCATGGGGACAGGCAACTCAATGGGAGATTTCTTAACAGATTTCCTCACACACGTAATGGCCAAGAACATGACCCGGGGGTGTAAGTTGTGCCTACCCAGGTTGAAACAAGAGGCATGCTGGGATAAGTGATATAAAGAAAGACTGTTTTTCTGGAGTTGAGCAATACAATCACTACAAATAGTGAAGCTAGTAGGCCTGTTACACACATTCTGCATCTGTGGCTTCAGCAACATGAGGCCTGCAGCCTGCTTTTTAGACAATCAGCATTTCTGCTGCGGCTCTATCAAGAAAGCATGAGGAAGGGTGTCACATTTACATCCAAGTGTTATTTAGTTTTACACAGAACTGTACCCAAACCCCAAAGTAGCTGGTTTTAATATCATGTTGCTAAGCTATTTTAGCAGGACAGAAATAAACTCCACAATTTCCCTTTGCAATATTTCTGGAATCAAGTCATGTGTCTGGTATTTTCTGCAAGCTATTTAGAACCAGAACGAGTGCTTCTCTATATAGAATAGTCTGTAGCTTAGCTGTAGTGTTTTTAATGTTTTTGAAAAAAAAGTCAAGGCTGCTTTTTTTTATCATAAATACGGTAAAAACAGTAATATTGTGAAATATTACTAAAATTTAAAACAACTATTTTTTAAATGTAATTTATTACTGTGATGGCAAAGCTGAATTTTTAGCAGCCATAACTCCAGTCCTAAGTGTCACATAATCCTTCCGAAATCTGGTCAGAAATTTGGTGCTCAAAAAAAAATATATATATATATTATCAATGTTGAAAACAGTTGTGCTGCTCTTGTGGGAATTATTATTTTTTTTTACATTTTAAACATTTCAGGATTCATTGACAAGAACATTTATTGAAAAATATGATTCATTAGTTGCACATCAGTAGCTTTGTTTCTTTATATAGCTTTGTTTTGTACTGTTATTGTATTGACTGAAGGCTTTGGCAATACTATGGGGAAAACAGTCAGGACAATATAGCACAATGAATGGAACAGAACTGAATCAAGTGGAAGAGAAAGAGAGAGAATGCACAGCTTGAGACTTATGTATTGAGAAAAAAGGGAGCGAGTGAATGCACAAAGAAGGCTGAAAGAGAGTTCTCATTATTTTCTAATTAAGCGCAGTCTCCTCTTGTTTAGCATAATGATGGCGGCTCTATCTCTGTCTCCGGCAGACAGTGGGGATGAACCTCAGCAGACCTAACTAATCAATGAACCGAGCCAAAATCATTACAGGAGCATCCAGAGAGGAGGAGCCAGACGAACACACGCGCACACACACACACAGAAAATATGCTTAAGCACAGCTACATACACAACACCTGACTATGACTAGGAAGGATTATATTGCAGATCAAATATCTGGGGCACAGTTATTCAGCATAAATGTATTTTTTGCTGGACGACTAACATTCAATGAAGCTTAAAGCAAACTACTCAGAATTGCATACTACTGCACATGCTACATACATTTACTATTTGTGCAGAATATAGTATATGACCTGAAGTTTTTTGAATACATGGATTACCTGGATGGGCTAGTACATTTGCCAAAATGTGGAACACAGTATGGCATGGAATTCTGTATCCCACAAAGCAATGCATTTGACTAGACCTTAATTACTACCCCTGTCTTTCGGTGGTTGATTGTTAAAATTCATAAATGCAAATGATAGATTTCTCTAGATAATATAGACCTTGTTGGTTATATCCTTTTAGTACACTAGTACTCCATAGCTTCTGGCTTTAATTATACTCATACATTGACAAGGACATGTGGGATGACTGTATACATGTGTGTGTGTCAGCTTGAGAAAGGGCTGAAAGATAAGCAAGTCTGCCTTATTAATAAGACCTTAAAGATACCATGACCTCTAGCTCCCTTCTACTGTATCCTCTATATGTTTCTCTCTCTTTGTCACACTCTTGGAGATACCCACAGACACAGGGAGCTGTGACACTGTCATACCTCTGACACATGCACACACACACACACACACACACACACACAGAGGCCCAATTAGAGCTAAAGAGGTCTGCTGGCTTTACTGCAGAGACAGCCACAACCCGCCTCTTCGGTCCAAAAATATTGCTGCCACTGCCCTCATACACACAAAACACATCATTCCTGCAGTGAACATCAAGCCATCCGAAACAAGGTCAGCTGGTCATCTTCTCCAAAAATTACTACTGTAGATATGTATACATACAATAAAAAACTGTGATACATTAATTACAACAAGAGCTTGTTAAGGCAATCATCACTATTACTTTGCTTATATTTACAGCAAGGGATTTGAACAATCCATTTTGTACCCTTCAAATTGTGTGAATTGTTGAGGAGAGGTGTACTAGGCTATTACTTTTGTGATAGACAATAAAATGGCCAGGAAAAAGTCTCATACACTTACACTGAGGCAGCAACCTGAGCCATATCTAGAAACCAGAATATCTCTTTTGACTTGGGCCAATAAGCAATACCCTAGCAATCACAAAGCAATGGCATCGCAACCTCCAACAACACCTGAGTATCAAAGTGAACTGCCTGTGGGCTGTTTGATTTTGGTTTTGATTTCAGTCAATAAGCGACCAACCACATAGACCACCCTAGCAACCACACAGGATGCACCAAAAATCGCTCAGAACCTCTTAGCAACAGCATAGCAACACCCTGGTAACCTCTCACAACACTAAAGCATCGCAGACACATGACGTTGATAATGGTATCTTCTGACATGGGCCAACAGGCAATTCCCTACAACCACATAGCAATGCACCAAAAATCACTTGGAACACCTCAGCAACGACAAAGCAACACCCTGTCAACCTCTCAGAACACCAAATCATCATAGACACATGGGGTTAGTCTTATTTGACTTGGGCCAATTGACAGGACAATACCCTAGCAACTTCCCAGAACACCCTAGCAACCACTTATAAACATAAAAACAAGGATGCAAGAAAAAATGTAAAAAAAAATGCACATATAAATGAATACATGAAAAAGAAGATGGAGAGGGGGACGCAAGATGGAGAAAGCAATATTATTAAAATCTCTATTACACAAGAAAAAAAGACAAAAAAATGCCTGTCCATTTATCTCCGTCCTTTACTTGCACTGATGCTATCCTTATCCTTATATTCAGCATTTCCATCCATCTATAACAACACAGCTCCTCAACGCCTCAGTGCTAATTCTGCTGCTCACTGCACCTCAGTGAACCCTTCAGCACTAATAGCTTCCCATGATCTGATATGATGTTAATTCTGCTGTCTATTGCACTTCTGTGACCCCTTCAAAGATAAAAAGGTTCCCAGGCAACATCTGCATAACTGAAGACAGTCTGATCAACCTGTCTGAGCCTTTCCCTGGTCTCGCCTTCATAATTATAAACAGTAAAGGACTATGTGGGTCTGATGAACAATGGTGTTTCATGGTATGAGCGTGACTCTGTGCTGAGCCAAAATGACACCTTGCTACCCCTATGGAGTAGTGAATTTTAGGACATTTATCTCTGCTGTACTAATCAATCAAGTTAAATGAAGGCAGGAATAAATCAGACATCCAGCCAGGCACAGTCATTCATCAGGGTACAGATGAGTTGTTCTATGAGAAATTAACTCTCACTCACACACACACACACACACATACACTAACACACCAATGAGGGAGTTACAATAAGAGATGGATTTGACGTGTATGTGTGTGTGTGTGTGTGTGTGTGTGTGTGTGTGTGTGTGGTTGTACATCTAGGGGTAAAAAAAAAACAGTGTGTGTGTCGGTGTTAATTCCTTTGCACTTTTCTTTGGGCACATAATGCTCATCATAATAACTAATGTACACTGGCTGCCACTGTTGACAAAAGCCATCGAACCAGCTTAAACCAGCTTTGTATGTTCTACAGGGGCTTTTCAGATGCATAGTAATAATTTCCAGGACATGCAGACAAAAGGACTATTTCTGGGGGGAAAAAAATAAATAACATTTTAAAAGCTGAAATGAAATGTTCACAACCAATTCAAGAGATATTGAGCCAATGAATGGATGAATAAATTCAGAGGGATAGCAGAGCTGAAGGGGGACATTCCTCAAATTTCCAAGTTCGTCCACTTTTTGCAATATTATAATTATTTTGAGTTTATTTGTATAGGGACAGTACAAAACTGATTTTTTTTTTTTTAAATACATACTTCTTTTTCAGCAATGCATTCAACCAATCAAAAGAGGCATTTGTAGAAATGTATAATGTTACAAAAGATTTATATTTCAAATAAACGCAGTTCTTTTGAACTTTCTATTCATCAAGGAATTCTGGAGGGAAAAAAAAATGAAATATGTCTTCAGAAGTTGTAAGCAGCACAACTGTTTTCAAGATAATAATATGAAATATTTCATGAGCACCAAATCAGCACATTAGAATGTGCCATTTGACATTGAAATTCAGTTTTGCCATCACAGAAATAAATTACATTTTATATATATTAAAGTAGAAAACAGTTATAGTTATTTTAAATTGTACTAATATTTCACAATATTACTGTTTTATTGTATTATTGCTCAAATAAATGCAGCCTTGGTAAGCACTAAGGAGTTCTTCCAAAAATATTTTAAAATATTACCGACCCCAAACTTTTGAACGGTAGTTTTAAACAAGAAATTAATTTATTAATGACAGCAGCAAGTTAACCACTTTGTAAATATACTTTCAATTGTTGACTTGCTTTAATAATTATTGAATAATAATTATATTTTGTTAAAGTTTTGTATATTTTGTTTTGTTTTTTTTTGCTAATTTTGCCTTTCAGTAAATCAGTTGAGGGAACATTCTGTAACCTAATTAATATTCACGAGTCATGAGTTTATAAAGTGTCTTTCTACTTTTCAGATCATTCCCGATGAAGACACTAATATGAATGAATGATTGAGAATAGGAAGAGCTTAGAATCCAGACACACTATTGCCACTCATTCTCCTCAAAAACTGATTTTCTTTTGACACCATAGCAGCAAGCTGAACAAACTACGTGCTTACTTAAAGAGATCTAATCAAAACATCTCATGAATATTTGCTCAACGCATTTCCATATTCTGGGCATTTGTGCCCCTGCAGGCGACAGGAGTCTGGAATACAACATTGTGCGACAATACATACCTCATCGTAAGTGTACCGGTAGTCAGCTCTCTTTGATTTCAAATCCCACATCACTACGATCCCAGACTCAAATCCTATTATGAGCTGAAACATGAAGAAAGATGTGGGGGGGGGGGACAAGAAAAGAAGGAAAATAGGCCATCAGTCTGTTGAACCTGACCTGCGAACTGATGAGAGTTCATGCAGGTGGCGACGTAAATCTGAAAGTAAATGATGTGTTTCAGCAAAGTAAACATTGAATAAAAAATTCAAGTCCTTTTGTCTGATTGTTAATCCAAAACAAACATTTATTCATACTCAAACAAAATCAATGAATCACACAAAACATTCTGGAAGAAATGTGCAAGTTGTTATCACCAAAATTCAACTCTACATTTATGAAAGACCTGAAAATGATCATTTACTTCACCTGTCTTTTTCTGGGAATTTTCTTTCTTTCAGACTTAAATTTCATTCTGTACCGCACACAAAGTTACTGTATGACTTTTAAGATACTTTTATGGCACTTTTTAAAGACTGCTTTTTTAAGCTCCATAGCTTCAGTCTCAAGTTATTGTACTGTAAATGCATGGGAATGAGTGGTCAGGAAATGCATCAAAATTTCTTTTAAAAATGACATGTCCTCTGCCATCTGAACTTTAAACCTCTTTGTTTTTAGAGATTCAGTGATAGTCTGAAATGATAAAGTGTCGGAGTTCTGTCAGCCAAGAGGGAGGGACAATGTGTCTAAGGACTTTAAGACCCATTAAGAACTGAGTGGACCTGTTATGGATCGATGCCCCGTTCAGGGGCAGAAGTGGGATGGGAGAGAGAGAGACAGAGAGTGGATCATCACTATAAAGGCACCTATGAGGAGCTCCCAGCTGCCAGAGAAAAAGACAGACAGTTTGTCATCCACACAAAGGTAAAACCCCAGCAGGTGTTTGTCTCTCTGCTCCCCTCTGACTGTGCGCTGGCAATTAGCGAAGGTAAAATGAATGTCTAAAAAGATGCATTTGGAAGTAGCTGGAGCATTTGTTCATCTCCTTCATATCTCCTCGATCATTTGTTTTAAAAAACAGCATAATTTGCTAACAAGCTGTGTGAGATTAGACCCAATTACTGAACTGTGCTGCACTGTAGGAAAGAAGTGTCTTATGAGTTCAGAATGGAGAGAAACAAGAGCTTTGTGTGAAGTAAGGGAAATGAATTATTCATGTCAGGAAGTGTTGATTTGTTTTCATGCAGATGTGTAGGCACTGCTTTACCTTGCCCTCATCCATAGGATTGTCACTAATGTGAACGACTGGGCCGGGGTGGGCCTTGGAGGACCTGTGGGAGAGAGACAAGTTTGGGATTGGTGTTAGTCAAGGAGACAGGATGGAGGAGTTCAAACACATAACGGGAAATACAGTATGAAGCCAGTGAGGAAACAATCCTTGGGGATGTGCGTGTTTGACTGTGCGAGATAGAGAGAGACTACTGTTCAAAAGCTTTTTTTTTTTAATGTTGTTGTTGTTGTTTTTTAAATAAGTCTCAACAAGGCTGCATTTATTTGATCAAAAAATACAGTAAAACAGTTTTATTGTGAAATAGTATCCTGTGATGGCAAAGCTGAATTTTCAGCAGCCATTCCTTCAGTCTTCAGTGTCACATGAACCTTCAGAAATCATTCTAATATGCTGATTTGGTATTTATTTATTTATTTTTTAAAAGACCTCAAACTTTTGAATTGTAGTGCATTTTGTAATTTATGCGGTGTGTTTATGAGTGTGATTATAAGTATGTTTCCCAACATGCTCCAAAGAATGAATACATCAGTTCAGTTTGGTATCCCATACAACTCATAACTAAAAACAAGGATTATCATGCAGATCCATCATCAAACATTTCTAAAATAAATAACTATATATAATAAATCATTTAATAATAATCTCTGTTGCATGACAAACCCCTTCAACACACACAAATATCCCACAGACAGAATAACGCCACCCAAACACACAACCAAATATTCTTAAAGAAACAACAAAACATGATATATTCAGTCTAAAGAGTTTTTCATAATGATTCAAATCCTCCAAATTGTTTGACGGCATGAGTTTAGACAAGAAGTCCAGTACTGGCTGGGATCATAGAGATTTATCACCACTAAAATGGGATTCTTCTCATAAAAATATCTTCTTTAACAATACATTACAAAATCCAAGAATGGGATTCTTGCCATGCAAAGCTGTTCAAAATGAAAGGGTTTTACATAATGCATCGAATAATTCATGACAGGCTCCTATAGAGGCATCTTATATTCAATGTTGTCCAACTGAAACCAACCTTATTACATTTTTCAATCCAGATACTTACTCCATTAGGCTTTTGAAAAATGAAATGTATAAGTCTTCACTGACATTCAGACAGTCAGTTTCAACCTCAAGATTATTCACAGTTAAAATTTAATTCAATACATAAAAGAAGCTTTGAGATCTCCCCGGGACACTATAGTGTAAGTGAGAAATTTTACAAGACCACTACTGCCCACTCATTTACAGCCAATGAATAATATGCCATCATTACTTTAGTTAAGAAACAGCCCAACAGATCGAAAAGAGCAAAATAATTCATTCTAATAAATATGAGCCTAATAAAAAGGCAGCGTATCTGCTGATCTGATACTCTCATTTACAGTACCCTTCTCTCTATACATCACAAAACAAGCTGCCTTGCCATCAATAGGTGCTACTTTAGCTAGCAATATTGTGGACACCCATAAGCTATTGATTGTACTGGCAGAAGTCATTCCTTTGTACCCTCTGACTACCCAGCAGGCCAACTGTGCTGTTGACGGCCATCAGGCACAGCCTTAGACACCTATAGTGGTGACAGCTGTGGCATAGACAGGGGTCCTTCTCTCCCCTCCAGCTATATTCTGTTGAGCTACAGCGTGGTGAGGAGAGACAGAGCCTTATACGTCTGTTACGGTTATGGAGGTTTGAAAGACAGGGGTCCTGATCTGCATCTATTTCCTTCAGTGTTTGTTGGGTGTGTAAGTTGTGACTGACAGGTTCATGGGGAATAAAAATCTGTGACACAGGGCCCCTCCCCTGCTCACCATTACAAAATAACATAATAAGAGGAGTCTTCAAGTCACAAAAATGTGTGTGTGTGTGTGTGTGTATATATATATATATATATATATGTATATATACATACATACATACAGTGGAGATCAAAATTAGAGAACCTACTTAAATTATATATTTGAAAAAGAACTCTGATCAAAATTAGAGAACACCTACAGATACCTCCAAGTTATTGGTGTTTATCTGGTGCCTGGTGCTAATTTTCTATGCTAATTCAGGGCTCGCAAAATTTCAAAATCCCTGGTAGCCCTTCGGGCAGGTACTCTTCAGATTTTTAAATATGAAGGAAGGGGTTTTATTGAACTATTTACAGTGTATCTGCAACATTTTTAAAAAATTAATTTAAGGCAATTTATGACCCATTTTAAGAGCTGCACAAGTAAAATGAACACAGTATGAGTGGGGTTGGACAATGTCTATGGTAACATACAGTACTAAGCCATAAAATTACATGATTTTCAGTTCAGATACAGGTTTTCACAAAAACCTTATACAACAGCATTTCAGCCTTTAGACCATTTTATGAAAAGGGATAAATCAAGCATATAAATTGTCAATTTAAAACGTATAAATATTACTGTCTTAATTGTTTAGATTTTTAGAAGGCACATTAACTTTCTCATTTACAACTCTATGTGTTTACTGCGTAAAAACATGAGTTGATATTTGTATTGATCTGACCATAAACAGCAAGAAAGGCTTTTTGGAAATTTATTCTCTGCCACGAGGTGGCGCTTTAGGAGCGCTGAAATATTGCGGTTTCCCTGGTAACAGCTGTGCACAAAGCAGCTCTGCATGCTGCTTTATCAGCAGGAATTATAAGTAAAATTAAATTAAAATGCCAACCACACGTTTCTGAGGACAGTCGGTTGCCTTCAGATACATTCAAATAAAGACATCCATGCCGCGTTTTGACTTGAAACGTGCAGCATTTATTCAATGACATCATTGCCTTTTGAAGTTTAATCCAGCCATATCGCGACTCTTGTCCTTCTTGTCCAACTGTAAGACCTCTTGAAATTATAATTAAGACATTTCTTATACCATTTAACGTATTTAAAACTTTTTATGGCCTTAAGTTTGATACAACTAGCTTTAGGAGTTTTTAAGGACCTGCGGGAGATCTGCATTTAAGATAGCCCGTCGGCAGAGTGGTGATACATTTTGGTAGCCCGACTGGAAAACACAATAGCCCCGGGACGTCTGTCTAGCAATTTTGCGAGCCCTGTAATTATATGACAAACCCTATTTAAAGGGGTCATATGATGCGATTTCAATTTTTCCTTTCTCTTTGGAGTGTTACAAGCTCTTGGTGCATAAAGAAGATCTGTAAAGTTGCAAAGACTAAAGTCTCAAATCCAAAGAGATATTCTTTATAAAAGTTAAGAGTCAGCCACACCTACCTAAAACGGCTCGTTCTAACACGCCTCCACATATCGACGTAACGTCGCTATGTGGGAAGATTACATAATGCCGCCCAAATGTTCACGCAAAGAAAGAAGGTGTAACTTTTATTCTCGCTGTAGTTTT